AACAACTATCCAATATTTTTTAATCGCAAGAAATTCTCCATAAGAAAAATCCAACAGTTGCAATGAGGTCTCAGTAGTTGTGTTTTGAGTCACACGTTTCACTGGTTTTTAATTTCCAATACCACAGATAAATGTCAAAGGGGCGATACAGCGTTGTAGAGAAAAATGTGTTCCTCTAATCATTTAAAAGAATTAACCGTGTCCCAAAAATAGGTCACTACATTACTGACCACATTTCATAACAGCCCCAAGAAACTCCACATAATTTTAAAAACTGAAAATCTACTAGAAAGTAACAGCAAAACAACACAATATGGAGTAAAATTCTCCCTCAGATTGGTGAACAACTGAAAACAAATATTATTTTATTTCTTAGCAATATTTTAAACATACTCTGATATAACCACTAACCAGCTTCTTTAGCCATTTGTATTTACTTCCACATAACTAATTTGAATAAACAAAACTGATTTGTCTGTTTTTTATTCCAAATGGCACTTTGCATAAAGTTTTCAACAATCATTAATAGGAGAAGAAAGTAAATAAGTCAAAAAAATCAATGCATGTTATAGTATTTCCTATCTATTTTCTCTTGAAGTTAAATGTAACTTAATATCAATTTATAAAAGAAATAGATGGTTTTATATCATGCTAATATGCAAAGTTCGAATTTAGTCCTTAAAATACTGTTTAGCATTTGGGAAAATGTGTTAAGTAAAATCCCTATTTCTGTAAACAAGCCACTAAAAGAAGGTAATTTTCAGAAAGTGAAAAACAAACGGCATATAAAACTGGTAAATCTAATCTAGTTTGGAAAATGGAGTTGTGGGAGAGGGAACAACAGAATTACTTTTAGAAAGGGAAAATTATACTTATTACATATCGTTTTTCCCTGCGTACTAAATGCTCTTACATAGCACTGCAACCGTTGCTGGGAGATAGAAATTGAGAAGGCCATAAAAGCTATGCATAATCAATTAGGTTTGACATATGTGTTGTCCTCTCTAAACTTGGCGATTTGACTCCGTATCATTCCCTCAACATGAGGTTGGACAAACATGTGGGTGCTATCCAAGACATGTATTATGAACTTATCAGATGCAGGAAATGAAGCATTCATATTGATGATATATTGTGCCATGGGAATGTCACTGCACAAGACAATTTAGCCAATCATTGATGCAGATTACAGAAGTGAAAGCAAAAATTAATTAAAAGTAAACCATGTTGACTCCAACTATGGTAATTTGATATCCCATTAGTGACTGGTTGTTTTCATGTGGAAAAGAGAAATACACAATTATGACTGTTGTTAACATTAATAAACCAAAACTTATGGCAAGAGGTTTTTTACCCATGTAAGAAGGAAAAAACAGTCCTTATAGTTTTAGTATGTAGAAGTTCCAACAATAGCTAGTTGTAAAAATAATCATTTGAATATTTGGCTAACAACAGTCATAATCATACAACTTTCCAAGAGGTGATACCAGGAAATGAAGACTCCTTTGGTGGCATTGACCATGGTGTATATAACCTTCCTGGAAAGAAAACTAAGACAAGTTACAACAGACACCATAACATTCGTCATCATTGTAGATAGTAAATAATAACTAGCTTATTTGATACAGAGCTAAAAATGCTTTACAAAGCTTCTCTTAAAACATACTTATCCAAACAAGCCATAAACTGCACCCTGTGATTTTCTTACAACAAAATTCATGGTTGTCAAATCGAACATTAATTATTCTTTCCTCCATACATCACAAGTCCAATGAACTATTATGATCACAAATTAATCTAATCTTGCTAAGATGAAATAAAAAAGAATTAAATGAATTGAACTGAGTAACTTAACATTAGGAATGAAACGATGTGATCTTATCGAGAAAAAAAATGGAAAAAGGATGCAAAAGCTTGACATCATCGCACGAACTTCGCTACCTCAATTATAATTGTCTATAGAGTTGGCACAACAGCTAAAGCTCCAATCTGCAATGGCGAAAATTGTGGTAGGTTTTACGTGAAAGGGAATTTCAGAGAAGAAAACCACGCAAGCTATCGGGCCTTCCAGGCCCACGTGACAAATAGGAGTTTCATTTTGCACTCCACATATTTCTTTGCATCACTCCATTTTTTTTAGAATAATATTTCTGGAATTTATCTTTAAGAGAGTAATACAATTGGTTTACAATAAATTAGGTTATCTAGATAAATAATTTTAAGAGGAATTAAAATTTAAAATTTTCATGAAAGAAATTACATTACTTAAAAAATAGATAAGTTTAAATTTCACCTAAAAAGTAAAAGTTTGAAAATTTTCACATATTCAAATTCATATACTTTTACCTATTCTTTTTAATTTGACTTTAATTACATATTTGTCAACATAAGTAAAATACAAGTACTGTGGAGATAACAATTTTTCAATTAATGTCAACAAGAACCTTTTTTTAATATATATATATATACACACACTTAAATTTTTATTATTATAAATCGCTATTATTTCATGTTTTAAATTAACTAGAATTTTATCGATTAATATTAAGATATTACCGTCTGACCAATGTGAAATATAATTTTTAATATTTACACTGTTTTCTTTTATATATATTTGGACACCTACTCTACGTACATTTAATTCTTATTTTTAACCTTACCTTTTTATTTCAATACAATTTTCCAACCTATGCTGGAAATAGTTAATTTCTATATAATTGCACACACTTTGATTATAACTAACAATATACAAACACAAAACGCTACCAAACTCTTCTTATGTTATTTAGTTTAATATATATTTTGATCCATATTTATGTAAGTTTTGTTTAAAGTGATTATTGATTTTTTTTATTCAAAATAGTTTCAAATAAATTTTATTTAATTTGGTCATTTTCAATGATACTGTTTAAATTTTTTATGGCTAAGTGTCCTCAGTTATTAGTAAATGATGTATACATTTGGGGTATATAAGGCTGGGCATAATTTACTAATCTGAACTAAACTACAGTTTACTGTATTATACTTAATAAAACTGAAGTGGTTTTTACTAAAAACCAATTAACTTTTTTTATAGTTCAAGTTAAACAAACTGAACTTTAATAATTTTAGTGTAGTTAACTGGGGTTAACTATGTGAACTGTATGTCTTTCTCCATTAGATTTGTTTTCTTTCACGGTCAAAGATTTTTTGCCGTCATCGCTGCCCTCTTCCTTCCTGCCAACACATCCAAGAAATCTCCCTTCGTGACACGTTTCCGAATCATGCGGTCGAAAATATCATACAACCTGACGTATGAAAGCGCCACATATCCCTTGACACCCTGCAAATCAAATGGCTTCAGCAAAGGAAAGTAGTCTAAGAGGTTAACCCTCCATGCGTCCTCCATGATCCTCCACACCAGCTCCTTAAATTCCCCTGCACTCTCGAACTCCGAATCTACCAATCCTCCGAAAACACCGTGTTCGATACCAGGTTCAACATTGTCGCGAATGCCAGATTTCCAATCGGAACACCTTTTCCATTCGAACATTGCTTCCGAAGGTGCTCAACAAGTTATACGAGATTTTGTGTCATGTTTTCATCTGCAGGTTCCTATGAAATCAATTAGTGAATTTCAAGATTTGTACTCCACTGTATGTTTTAGCATGAAGGGAGCTTGAAATCAGTTAGTATATTATGTCTCAACTAATTTTAAGTGCAGTATACTTATGGAATAGTTTCTGCCATTTTCTTTGTATTATGAAGGGAGCTTGAAACTCACTATTGCCCTCAAAACTGCAATCATGTTCCCTAGAATATTTTCTGCCATTTTCTTTGTATTAAATGCTCTAATATGGGGACAAAAATGGTCTGGAGTAGTGCCATTTGGAACAATGTTTATTCACTGAAGTGCACAATAAATAGTTAACTAAACTGTGAATTAAAAAACAGTTTATTGAACTGAACTGCAGTTACTCTAAACCATATTTTAGTTCAGTGTAGTGTTCCCAAACTGGTTTATAGTTAACTATAAACTTCCATAGTGCAGTGAACTGTGATGCAGTTTGTCCACCCCTAGTGATATACGTGTAACTTAAATGAATGTGAGATTGATTGATTGTTAAAAGAATTATTTCACATAAAAAAAATGGAAAGTTAGCGTAGCTAAGAAGAAATGAGACCTAAATAACTAAAGGTGGCCATAGAAAAAAAATGTAGCATCTATCATATAATTGGACACAACAAAAATAATTACCCCTTATATCCTCAGGTAATAAAACCAACACCATCTCTTCAATCTCCATTACCATCACAATCACCACAACCAACTCTCTAATCCCCTCTATCATCACAACCACCAACAACACCAACTAATCCCCACTCTCCATTACCATCACAACCAACTCCCCAATCCCCTCTACCATCACAACCACCAACAACATCAACTCCTTAATTCCCATTACCAACAAAGTCACCACAACCATCTCTACCATCACTGCCACCAACTCTCTAATCCTCGTTACCATCACAACCACAACAACTAACTCTCCAATCTTCTCTATCATCATAGTCATCACAACCAACTCACCAATCCTTTCCAGCATCACATGGACCACCACAACCAATTCAGAAATCCACACAACAATTTAGTCAACCAAGGAGAAGGAACAAATTACATATTAGGAAACAAACTTAATACTAGTATGTAAAATATTATTAGTAGGAAATGTTGCTTATGTACTTTTCAACATTTGACTGACAAACACTTATTTTTTGTTCTTGACTATATTCACATTATTTTATAAAGTGATTAATGAAACTCAAAATTATTGGTCAGTCTATTTGAACTCATGTTTAATATATTATGATCCATGCTCTTCGTATGTATCAAATTCACAAAAAGAATAAGGACTACATTATTGAGAATATAATAATTTGAATTATTGATTTAAATCTCCATTAAAACATGTACGGTAGAAAAATATTTTAACTCTTCGTTCTATAAATTAAAGAAACTATTCACACTAAGAATAGCAATGAATTAATGAAGGAAATGAACTATTTTAATAGTAATAGTAATTTTATATTCTTCACAGCTGTGACAGCTTTTTGACTTGACTAGGCTATTCTTTCTTATGGGGACTATCATCATCGGCTTCGACTTCTCCATCAGAAGAGAATTCAGAACTATAACTTGTCTCACTTATTTCATCATCTTCCAAGCTATCAATATTTTTCCTTATGCGCCTGCAGTGGAAATGATGTCGGAACATAGGTGACCACAAATGCTTATTCTCGAACAAAAACCCATACTCAAATATGGGTTTAACCCAATAATCACAAGCTCCAAGATTAAAAGCCTTCTCTTGGGAAAGTGGAGTACGATCCTCAGACATCACTGCAGATGGTTAAACAGTCAAAAATTGAAAACTTAAGTAAAAAGGTAAAAGATTAGTTACTTACTGATGAAAGGAACATCAATTACTTCTTTATCGAGAAAATGCAGAAATTCATAGCCATCCATCATTGGCATATGGAGTTCCATGATAATCAAATGAAAGTCTATTTCTTTTTCCAACAAAAAGTCGACCGCACTTGAAGATTCAGAGCATATCTTAACTGTACAAAACTCAAAAGCATAAGAAAAAAACACAAATATTTCTCTTAAAGAATGATAACGAATAAAATATTGTATATATCTAACCTTTATGAGAATTATCGTTGCATGATTTGTCGATGAATTCAAGAACTCTAAGGTCAGTATCAATGGCAAGAACATTAAAATTTGATGGAAATTCAGGCATGTCAATTGAAGAAGAACTTCCGGCCATCACTCTCCACTATCACCTTATATCAGGAATGGAGAAAGCAAGGAAAAGAAATAAATACATACGGCATGGTATAACAAAATCCAAACAGCAAAAATCAAATATATGGATAATTAAAAAGATTTCACCCAACCCATCAAATAAATATATAGAATTAATGCTTTTAAAACTCCTTTTTGTATATAATCAATTAAGAATAATTTTATAATGAGTCAATAATATTTTATTTATTTATTATTAAAACTAACAATAAATAATACATATTAATTATAATATTAAATAATTATTTATAATATATAACAATTAATATTATTTTTTATATATACTTAATATATAATAATATTTTAATTAATAATACAAGCTTTGTTGGATTCATGTTATAAACTAAAATGCGTATTCCATTTACACATTAAAAGCATCTAAGAGATCACATCATCACACATTAACAAATTCTCAACTAATTGGATAAAAATATAAAATATGAATAGTTTTAAAATTAAAATAATAAATTTACAAAATTAAATATTAAAAATTAGTAATAAAATATCTATTTAAAACTTGTACATTTTATATTTACAATAAAAGGTCCAAAATTTTAAAGGTATAGATATCCACCTCTAACTTTAACTTAAAAATATATTAGAAACAATTACAAAAATCTACTAATTGAAGAATCGTTTAACTCTTCATTGTATAAATTAAAGAAACGAACCACTGTCTTCGTAACAAAAAACAAGAGACCTCTCAAATTTAGTTAGTTTAGGATATTTAAAAATCATTAAAAACGAGGCAATGACATAAGTATTATATTTATATATATATGCATGCATTTAAATTTTGATCTTGTCAATGTAACTTCCATCTTTTCTTTCTTTTTTGTGGCATTGACACAATATTTGGATGCGTTATAAGTGTATATATATAATAAAGGCATCAAGAATTTGTCTCAATTACTCTGTGAGTGTCTCAATAAGAGGGTTTTAAGTTGTTCTAAGTTCATTCTATACCGAACTCAACCAAAATAGGGTTATGTACATTCTCATTATGAAAATGGTTCTTTTGAGCGTATCTAAATTAGATACTATGTTTAGATATAGATTTCTACGTCCATTCTTTTTAAGATTAAGAATAGCTTAATCGGATATGTTTTTCACATATCTCTCATTATTTAGGACCTTATTCAATTCATCTCATAGATAAGAAATTCTCTGGACAATTCAAATCGCGACTCGAGCCTATATAACATGGCCAATCAATAAAAAGACTCTAAAGATGCCATGAAATCATGGTGATCTTAACTACATGAAATTTCGATTTCCATTGTATTTGGTAAACTCAGTGAAGGCAAATATGACATAAAGATCCATCTAATTCTCAAGTAGTTAAAATGAACACTAACCTCGTTGGAGGTACCCGATTCTCTTCTTCAACACTTGATCGCCGCCGCCTCGCCTGTCTCACCCGGGAACTGATACGTGTGCTGCTGTCGAGCTCCACCGACGGTGGCACGGTTCACGCTTCAGAAATGTTAGGGTTATGTGAGAAGGAGATACATGCATAGATAATATATGTTCTCTGTCCCAGAGGACTTCATGAGGCTTTGTGGACTGGGCCTAAGTTAACATATTCTATAAATTAAAATATTAATGTATATTAAATTATATAAAAATATTAAATTAAATAAACATATATTATTTTTAGTTAAAATTAAAAAAAAATGTTTAGATATACAGTTAACATCTTAATTTGATATATATTAAAATATTATTATTATTATTATTATTATAATAATTATTATTATTATCATTAGTATAAAAATCAACAAATAAATTAAAATTAAAAAAAATCTTAATAAAGTTGGTTAAGAAATTTCTTAACCCGTTTCTTAAAGTCAATTAAAAAAATTCCTTGAATTTCCAAACTAAGTTAAAAAAACTTTTTAACCAATTTTTGAAATTTAGTTAAGATTTTTCTTAAAATTACTTTATTTAATAATATTATTATTATTAATATAATAATAATAATATATTATTATTATTATTATTATTATTATTATTATTTTTGTTGTTATTATTATTACTTTAAAAACAAAAAAATAAATTAAAATGAAAAAAATAAGAAATTTTAAAAGTTGGTTAAGAATTTTTTTTTTTAATTGATTTCGAAAATCAATTAAGATTTCAACTATTTTCAAAATTCATATAATTTTTAATTAGCTTTCAAAAACCAATTGATTTTTAATATTAAAAGGATAAAATTAAAGTTTTGAAAATGCAGGAAGAAAATAATGTTTGGTTTACTTATCCTAAATTAAAGTTACACTAAGGATAATATGAAAAATATACATTGGTTCTAAAATGCAAAAATTTTCAAATAAAGTTAAGAAGTTAAGAAGACATAGTTGGGATTGAGACGGAATGCTTAAAGTTAAGAAGTTATGAATTAATTAATTAATTTAGTGAAATTATGGGCTAAAATTAACGAAATACAAATCATCAATTGATATGTTGATATGTGATATTTTAATTTTCTTATTTGTTTAAAGAATTTCAATTATCACCCAATGCATTACAAATATATAAAATTATTTAAATATTAATCATAAATACTGTGAATTTTATCTGTAAAATCATCAGCCAAAAAAATAATATTTTTTATTTAAAAATTACCAGTGTCTTTATTAGTAAATAATTATACATTTTTTTATAAATGTCCATTAAAACATGTACTGTATAGAAAAATATTTCCACTCTTCAATCTATAAATTAAATAAACTAACCTATGGCAGCCTAAATAAAGAGATTATTAAAAAAACTTCATGTTTTTTTTTTTTGTAAAATTAGTTGTCTTTATTACTTAAATAAAGATATATTTTTATAAATAAGAATTCACACTAAGGATTGCAATGAATTAAAAAAAGGAAATGATCTATTTTAATAGCCATAATAATTTTATATTATTCAGTTTCTTTATTAAGTAGTAGCTGTAGCTGTTTGGCTTCTTAATACTAACTATGAATATTTCAGTTGATCATACTAGTCTGTTCGGCTTCTCTATCAGAAGAACATTCAACCCAATAATAGCAAGCTCCAAGTTCAAAAGCCTTCGTTATGCAAAGCCGAGTATCCTTCCTCTTTCTCAGACATAGATTGTTAAACAGTCAAAAGTTGAAAACTTAAGTAAAAATGTAAAAGACTACTTACTTACTTATGAGAGCAACATCAATCCCTTCTTTATTGAGAAATTGCAGGAATTCATAGCCATCCATCATTGGCATATGAAGCTCCATGATAATCAAATGAATGTCTATTTCTTTTCTCAGTAAAACATCGACAGCTCCGGAAGATTCAGAGCATATCATAACTGCACACAACTCAAAAGAATAAGAAAACAAATATCTCTCTTAAATAATAATTACGAATAAAATATTGTATATATCTAACCTTGATGAGAATCCTCGTTGCATGTTTTCTCGATGAATTCCAGAACTCCAAGGTCAGAAGGATATTAAGATTGGATGGAAATCCATCGGGGATGTCAATTGAAGAAGAAATTCCGGCCATCACTCCCCACTATCACTTTAGACTGGGAATGGAGAAAGCAATTGAAAGAAATAAATACATATAGCATGGTTTAGCAAAATCCAAATCCCCTCCTAAACTGATCCAAGGTTGAAACAGCAAAAATCAAATATCCGGGTAATTAAAAAGACCCAGCAAATTTTAGCAAATGCAAATCGTAGACAAATGTCACAGCTCAAACTAAATCAAATTAAAAGAATTAATTGGGTGTTGACAAATGTATAATCTGGCTTTAATTGTGATATTATTATGGTAATCTGGTCTTGTGATATTTTTTTTCGTCCTTTTTTTTATGATAGGGTAGACAAATGTCACACATTGTAATATTATTATGGTAATCTGATCTTAATTGTGAATTAATTGACAATTAATAAAATAGGAAAAAAAATAATCTTGGTTACAAGAAAAACAAATCAAATAATATTCAAAACATTGATTCTAACTATTGTCAAAATATATTATTTTTAATTATTGCTTATGATTATTGACATAATATTGATTCAAATTATTACCATATTAAACGTTCCTTTATCTAAAAATATTTTTTAGTGTTGTATTATTTTTTTTAAGGAAATTTATTTTATTATTTTCTTCTTTCTTTCTTTACTTACCATTATTATTCTCTTATTCATTTTATTTATTTATTTATTTACCCACACGAAATTGGGTGTTGACACCCTACGACCAATTCAATAGCAATTACAGAAGCGGTATAAATAATTGCATTCATGAGAATTTCATCACCTACATATAAAAGAAAGAAATAGTTACAAAGACTAAGAAATTCTGATTTCATTTTTCAATTACCAAGACTTTTTCAGCTAAAATAATTAATCAAAATAAGAATTGTTTTAAGATTTCTTTTTTCGTCTCGAAACATACTTTTTGGGTGAATATGTATAATCTTTGTTCTTCTTTTACCTGAAATTTGGAATCATTCTTTGAATTCTTCGTTTTTTTATAAAATTTCTTTAGTTATTTCCTTTTCAATTCACACTTAGAGCTGAAACGCAACGATTTGATTTTCTATCCCTACACCTTGGGTAATTAAAAAGACTCAGCAAATTTCAGAAACCCAAATGGTTGACAAATGTCACAGCTCCTGATAACAGTTATACCAATCGGTTACACTATTGTACTGATCGCTCTTGTATTGTGTCGATCGCTCTTGTATTGATTCAATGCATCGTTCGGTATCACTGACCTGAACCGCTCAGTTGTATTGATTAATACACCGTTCGATTATACTGTTGTGACGATCGTTCTTGTAATGTGACAATCGCTCTTGTATTGTGACGATCGCTTTGACTCAATGCATCGTTCAGTATCACTGACCTGAACCGATCGAATGTGTTGATTTATTATATCCTTCGATCTCACTGACTTGCACTGGTTGGTTTACAGTTAGGTTTGTAGCTTATGCTATTCTGTTTAGTTTCTATTATTCAGTTTTAGTTTCTTTTCCTATATATTTTTGTATCTCTTTCAACAATTCAATAAACTTTCTATCTTTCTTGGCCTATTTTTCTCGGGCTTCTTCTCTCTTCTCTTTTCTCCCCTTTATCATCTTTCTTTTCCACTATTGGATAATAAATCTATGAGCTCCAACTAAATCAAATTAAAAGAATAAAGCATATTACATCATTCTACCACAACTAAAAATACTAAATAAGATTTAGACAAGCAGGAATCGTAATCCAACGTTCTTCATTCAAACCAGAAACACCAGCTCTTTGCCGGACCTAGACAACATTGCACCTAGAAATCGAGACCTCGCATTCCTTTCCAGCGACAAACCGAATGCACCAAAATCCAAAACACCAACAAATAGGAACATAAAACGGTAAACAAACATGAGCAAAATTATATATATCAATGGATTTTGGTATAATTTATTATGTATGCTGTTAACTACATGAAATTTCTAACCTTGTCGATCGGAGGTACCCCGATTCTCCTCTTCTACCACTCGATCGCCGCCGCCCCGCATTTATCACCCAGCGGACTGGTATGAGTGCCGCTGTCGAGCTCCACCGAAGACGGTGGCACGAATGCAAGGGTTATGTGACAAGTTTCAGAGATAATAAAAGTTCTAACTATCCTAACCTACTTCATGGAGACTTTGTATATACGTACATTTGCATGAGTAAGAAAATAAAAGAGACGAAAATAAAATTTATTTACTATATTTAATATTCTTTTATCCATTTCAATCTTTTTATATTTAATACTAAATCTAAATAATATTTGTTTAATTATCATTAGTTATTAAATAACATTATATTATTATTTAAAATGTGTAATATAAGGATAAAATGTAATTTTTATATATTAAAGCGTAGGGAAAGAAAATACTTTATGAGTGAATTTTATAAATATAAAATAATTCAAACAATTAAAAATAAGAAGAAAAAGTGTGTCAGAAAAGAAAAAAAAAAGATAGAGTATGAAACCAAAGACTAAAATTATATATATATATATATATATATATATATATATTTCCAAAACAAATATTTTACATAACAGAATCTGTCACGCCCCATTAATTATTCTGCTTAGTCACCTCCCTGCTTCCATTAATACGTGTGACACGTGCTCCGTGCCATTAAAGAAGCACACGCCCTCACTCTGCATGCCACCGCCAGGTGTCAAATTGGAAGGTTCTGAGTTTGATAGTGGAAGCCAAGTGGCAGCGCAGGAGAGAATGTCCGTTTGACTTGGGAAGAGAAACTAATTTTCTGAAACACTCTTCCCTTCTCTGCGTGCTCTTTCATCTTCCTCAGAAAACCAAACCCTCATTTTTCTCCTCCTTCTCTCTAGAACTCTCCGTCTTCCCTCTTCTGCAACTCACCCTCCTTTTCTCCGTTCACGTTTCAGCACCGTGATAATCAGCACTGCACCGTGAGCTTTCCATCAAACCGATTGGTTTTGGATTCTGAAACGGGTAAGTTTCACGTCCTCAACCACTCTTCATTTTCCACATGCAAGCTCGTTTTAAATCTGCATGCACCTTCTCTGAACCAGTATTGGTTTTCTGAATTTTTAGTTGAAGAGTTTTTGGGTTTTTGAACGAAAAAGGGTAGAAGAGTTGATACTGGGATCTGGTTTTCTTTTAAAGAACGAAAGCACGTTTCCAATCCAGGTAAGGGAAGCTTGTTAGAATTTAATTCACATGATCTCTGTACTGCATGCGCGTTACGTAATGTTTGAAAGTATGATTTATGATATTTGACTTTGGAGTTTAGGATTATGATTCTGAGATGATATATGAAAATGTTGCATGTATGTACTGGGAATTATATGCTGAGTGTATGAATGGTCTGTGACGTTGTACGTGGATGATTTTGATATTTGAATGTTAGTATATGATGTTGATTAAAAGCATGAGAAGTATGGAAAAATACTATGTTAAGATTGATTTAATGCATGAAAGTTTATACTGGAAAATGAGTTACTGTAAAAGAAGAATTATATGAAAAGTGCATGAATTTGAACGTTCGTATTGATACGGTCATTGACCGTTCGGTATTATCAGTAAATTCTTGTATTAGTCGGACCCTTTCATTTGGAAAGGACTCCCTTTGAGAACGAACGCCCTCTAATATATTTTTACGTTGTGCTTTCGGCCAGACGTAAACATCACGAGTGTTGTGTGAGAATTGAGAATTTTGATAATATCCCCGTGAACTTTTAGTCAAATTATTGAAACATAAACTTTAAATATCTCATCTTATATAAATCCCAATTTCTATGATTTTGAATTCAGCCAAGAGTCTCGATCTAAAAACGTACGTCCTAAGTGGCGTTCGGTCTTAGACCGAACGTTCGTTCAAAAAGGCAAACGATTAGTAGCGCTCTTTCTTTTGTCGAGCGTTCGTCTTTGGTGGCGTTCGACCTTATGTCGAACGTCCGTTCTTGATAGCGTTCGTTCTTATGTCGAGCGTTCGCCTGTGGTAGCGTTCGACCTTATGTCGAGCGTCCGTTCGTGATAGCGCTCGTTCTTTTGTCGAGCGTTTGTATTTGATAGTGTTCGACCCTTGTCGAGCGTACATCCTTAATAGCGTTCGTCTTCTGTCGAGCGTTGGTCTTTAAATAGCGTTCGTTCTGATCTTAAATAGCGTTCGTCCAAACAGTGAAATAACGTTCGTCTTTTTATGGAAGTGTAATTAAGAATGAAAATGTGATGTTGAGGGAAGTATAAATTGTGCGAACCATATATGATATGATATTATGATTTTGGAATTTGAACGAGCGTTCCAGGGTGGAACGACTCTTGACTGGATATTGATATTTGTAGTATGAACGTGGTAAGCTTAGATGGTGATCCATCCTGATATTCCGTGAGTGCTCGTTCTCAAGTAGAGAGGAGTAGGTCATGCGTGGGAATGGCAGGAGGTCTAGACCATAACTGTAACTTGGCAAAAAGACTAACCTCAGGTGGATACTGATGAGCATTCCAGTTACCCCACCTGAGTGCATGGACGCCTTAGCTACACAGGTTTCATACAGTCCGGACAGTCTGTCTAGTATCAGGAAGTTTGATTTGAGTTAATGTATGTATTGGATGCATGTGTTGTGATGTATTTGATATGATTGATAAGTATAAATTGTATGTTTGACTTGAATTAAATTCAATAAGCTTACCCTTGCATTTCCTTCGTGTTGTCTTGTCTATGTATATCCGTCTTGTCAAATGCAATGATCATCCGTGTGGATGTGAGCAGAGGGAGATGCGTCTCTGGAGCAAACTCTTGAAGAGGAACTCGTTACTGAAGAAAATTTAGTAGAAGTTGAGGTGAAGGCCGAACAGTGAGGCGTTCGGTTATTTAGTTAGTTTGATTAGAGTAGCGAGCGTCTGTGAGCGAGCGCTCTTTTGTTGCTGTATATATATATTGGAACGTTCGGTCAATTCTTGTAAACCGTTCGTCCTCCTTGTTTTGTAAACGCTCGTTGTTTTAAATGAAAGGCCGTTCGGCCATTTATTCAATCTGCTTACTGTATTATTAAACTGTTTTGCCATATTGATTAATGTGATTATTCTAAGTATATAGTTGATGACTGTATATTTCCGGGATGTTACAGAATCTAATACTTATTCCATTAATATCAGAACCAACTTTTCTATATATGTTAAAATTGTATGGTGTTAAAAAAACAAAATCAGAACATTAAGGTTGGAAAATGTTTTGTAAATTGATACTTTTAATAATATTTTTTTAACTTCAATCCAAATGTAGTTTTTTAATTTACAAATCTTAAATATTTTCTTACAAATAAGTATGTACGAATAAAACAGAAAAAAAACCTAAGAGGGAGAGATTTTCATCTATATTAAAAAATAGTTATTGTCTATCATTTATGTTATTTCCATGTAAATAAAAAGAAATAATTGTTTCTATTTTATGTAAAACATAGATTTAATACGATAGCAATGAGTAATTTATTTAGTTAATTTAATTTTATATAATGAAAATCACATTAAATAAAAACCCTAAATACATATAAAACCCTAAATCACATTAAATCATATTTATTTAATGTGTTGTGTGAAATATTACCTTAGACAGTTTACTTTTGTCAAAATCTTTATCAATTTAGAGAGGATTTGAAATTACCCACCCATTGTTAGTTAACAAAACATACCTTATATATATTTCTTTCTTTCAGTTGCTTTCTCAACAGTGTAAAGTGATGGCCGAAATTTCTTCTACTGACCTCCCTGAATTCCCATCAATTCTCAATGTTCTTGTCATCGACAGTGACCTCATTTTTCTTGATTTCATCAAGAAAACATGCAACCAGTATTCTTATGAAGGTTAGATATACACCATTCTATTGATAATCCTTTGTTAAGAGAAAGATAGATTCTTTTCTTATCTTGATGCTTGTTTGGAGTTGTGTGCAGTAATGGTATGTTCTGAATCTCTACATGCTGTCAATATTTTGCAAAAAGGAAAAACGAATATTCATTTGATAGTCATTGAAGTTTATATGCCTGTCATGGATGGCTGCGAATTCCTGCTATTTGTCAAGAAAGAAGGAATTGATGTTCCTGTCATAGGTATGTAAGTTGTGGTTTACAGTTTTACTCAAAGTTTTAAATTTTTGACTGATAAAGAATAACTTGAACTTGTTTTACAATCTGTAGTGATGTCTCATGATGATTCTAAGCATTGTATGATGAAGACTATTCGGCTTGGAGCTTGCGATTATTGGAAGAAACCCTTGAAGGAGGATATGTTAAAGGACATGTGGACACATGCTTTTAGAAAGTTTGTAAGGGAACATAGCACCCAAAAAAATATTGGCAGGTTGGATGATGATGATAAAACAAGAGGGACAAGTCATAATTCTGAATCTGCTTCATCCATTCTTGATACGAGCAAAAGTAATTTCAGAGAAGATGATGATCTTGATGAATCAGAATATAATAGTCTAACTGCCACAGGGAAGGATCGCATAGTATGGACACCAGAACTGCATACTAAATTTCTTGATGCTCTTGAAAGTGTTGGACCCGAAAGTATGATTCCTGGGCAATTGTTTTATTTTTCTTCATTCATAGATATTTCTTTTTAGGTGTATTGATCGACTTAATTATTTTTTTTAGATATCGTGCCAAAGAAAATTCTGAAAGCCATGAACATGCCTAAATTGAAAAGAGGACATGTTGCTAGTCATCTGCAGGTTAGTACATTTGATTTTCTAGATTTGATTATTACTTCAGTATTTATTGTTTAGTGTGTTTTTGTGTAGAAATACAGAAAATCTGATGTTGAAGGAAACTGAAATTTTGATTGACAGAACTACAGAAATTTTTTGAAAGAGGAGCGAAAACAGCAACAACAACAACAGAATGAACCAAATGAGATGTCATTGGTTTCAGGTAATAAAAAACCAAAGGTGCAAGCATCAGAAGAAAACAACTTGCAAACTTCGACACATCCTGATCTGACATGTAACATGGGGCCAACAAGAGAGAAACCCTATGATCTAAATGTACAAGTTTCTGAACATTTTCATGAACCAACTTTGGCACATGATCTTTCTTATTCTTTGGCAACGTTTCCTAATATTTCCATTACTAACAATTTTCCTCAATCTTCTGGATATGGACTAAATAATATGCAGAAGCCAATGATGCGTCCTGAAATTCCTCCGATCAACTTGCAGCCATCCTCCATTATTATTTCAGATAATTCAGCTTCTGTTCCACCTCAATCAATACCAGGTGAAAACAACATAGGTCAAGTTATTCAGTATCAGTACAACAACAGAGCTTTTATGTATTACTCACAGCCTCTAAATTGCAGGTTTCTCAAATAGTGGTGTGAGACCTTTTGCTGCCTCCTCAGATATTGATGATCAAACAATCAAGAAGGAGCTAGATTCTAAGAACAACGACCATCACAAGCCCTGATGAAGACATTTCTGTATTCTTAACATAGTTTTTTTTTTTCATAATTCGATATTAGACAAGTTTGTAAGCTGCTTACAACCATATTTTGCTATACTAACAGATAGTTTTGGAGTGTTACTGTTGACAGTTCTCTACATGAAGAATATTTAGGATTTGCATAGTTGTTAAAATTGAATTAGTAGATATGTTTTGGAGTGTTTATACTGTTAACCCTTCTATGCGTGAAGAATATTTAGGATATATTTTCGAGTGTTAATGAACATTTAGGGTTGCTAAAATTACAATTCTTGAATAATAACTTACGGTAGGTGATTGATATGATAAAATAAAATAAGCATCAGTTTTATATTTGGATATATATACATATCCTAAAATACAATTTCGTTGAAATGATTAGAAACAATATTGAGAATATAAATTGAAATGGATAAAAAATTAATATTGTTTCTCTAAACTTCTTATCATAATATTTTGTTAAGTAATTAGATAATTATTAAGAATATAAAAAAAAAAGCAAACTGAAATTATTAAAAAGTGAAAAAGAAAAATTCGGACAGTAACTAAAAAATAGAATTTCTGTTATCTTATGACGACTTTTTGTCTTTATTTTTATAAAGAGTGATACTTGATAAAAACACAACTGTTTTATAATCTAAAATATTAATACGCCATTTAAATTTCTTTTATATTTTAAAATTAAAATATCATTATATATTATTACATTATTAAAACAGCTGTTATGATTCTAATTTTTTAGGAAAGTCAAACTATATTTTTTCTTTTCTTGTTTTATTTGATTCTACTCGACTCTAAGAAATATGTTATTTCTTTAATAGTATAAATGAGCCGGTATTAGTTATTTGCATTTGGTAATTAGACTATAATAATATATAATTGTTTAATTTGGTCGCTAAATTTTTCTTTCATATATATTTATATTTCCGTGAGATAATTTTATGTAGAATAGAATACCATCTGACTATTAATTCATATATTAGAGAGGTAAAATCTTCGAGTTATTTTCTGAAATATTTTTATATATACGAATGAGATGTTAACTTTATCAAAGGAAAAACACATAAATATATGTAAGAGCAGCAATTTAGATATTTATTAATTTAATATGTTAAAAAAACTATTTAAAAGTATTAGTAAAATCTTTTTACAAATAGTATTGATTTTATAATTAGATTAATCAAGTACGCTAATCAAATTTTATATACTGACTTTTTAATATGAATGTTTAATTTACATTGTTTTCGCGTTTTAAATAGTGGTACAAATATAAGTATGAAAACACGTATTCTCGAGTATTTAGTGTATAATTTATTTTGTTTACCCAATCAACCATCATATTAATAGTTAATAGAAAGTGTTTTATTTACACATGTGTATGTTGAAATATATTTACACGTAGGTTGGAGTAGAAAATAAGTTTATTTAGTATTGATTATTTTAATTATGGATGTTTGGATTAATTAGTGCCTTACTAGTAGTTTTCGGTTTAATATGCCTAAATTAAGTAAAATTAGGTGCATTATATCATGCAAATATCATCAAAACATTTAATTGATGCAATTCAAATTTTCCTGGTGTGAGAGAATTGGTACAGTTAAGACTTAAAGCTATTGTAATGAGAAAAGAAAGGATAGAAATTGTATTTCTTATTCCATTATCAGGAGAAAGTATAATTTACATATATATAATTGTTTGAAACAATGTATAAACGGAATATAAATATAAATATATGACATAAATGCATAGATATGAACGGAAAATAAATTAAATCCAATATCCCCTCAAGTTGCAGCATATATATTCTTAATGCTCAGCTTGAACAACAAAGATTGAAATTGTGCTGGATGCAAAGCTTTAGTATGAATGTCTGCAAGTTGTGCTGAAGTAGGAATGGACAGGAGCTTAATTACACCAGCTTGAACTTTATCTCTTATGAGATGACAATCAATTTCAATATGATTTGTCCTTTCATGCATGCCTGGATTATGTGCAATTGGTATAGCAGATTGATTGTCACAAAACAGAGGAACTGGTTGTGGTAGAGGTTGTTTCAAATCATGGAGCAAATACAGAAGCCATTGAATTTCACATGTTGTGAAAGCTAAAGCTCTATATTCTGCTTCGGTTGATGATCTAGATATAGTACCTTGCTTCTTGGATTTCCAGTTGATTAATGATGCACCATAGAACACATTAAAACCAGTCACAGACCTTCTAGTGTCAGGACAAACAACCCAATCAGAATCACTAAAAGCCTTGAGAGCATGTTCTGTGTTGGAGGAAAAGAATAATCCTTGTCCTGGATTGTTCTTGATATATCTTAGGATTCTTATTGCTGCTGCATAGTGATCTTCCAAGGGATTGAAAAGAAATTGACTGAGAGTACTAACAGCGAAACATAAATCTGGTCTTGTATTGGTTAGATATAGTAACCTGCCAAGAAGTCTTCTATAGGTCTGCACATCTGAATAGGATTTCCCTTTTGTCTTGAAAAATTTTGTGCCATAGACATCGAGCGAGCCCATCCATGATAATTGTGACCTTCAAAAGTCGGGAAAACAAGCACAAGTGAAGGATTCTCGTTAAGGTGAATGTAATAGTCGTGTGTTGTATCTTGCAACGATGCGAGAGTAATAGAGGGAGTAACCATAGAAGGGGAAGAAAAAGGCAGAAAAGCCAAGAATAGAAGATGAAGATCTGGGCAGAAAAATAATTGGTTGCGGAAGAACGTGATAAAGAATTAATTTTCTTCTGATACCATATTATGAAAAAAAAAGGATAGAAATTGTATTTCTTATTCCATAATCAAGAGAGAGTACAATTTACATATATAATTATTTCAAACAATATATAAACGGAATATAAATATAAAAATATAATATAAATATATGAACATAAATGCACATATATGAACGGAAAATAAATTAAATTCAAGTTTTACCATATTTTTCATAATTTGATCAATACATCTCATTTAG